GTTGACGGTGTACACCTGGCCGTAAGTGCGCGCACCATAATTAGCGTTGACGAGGTAGCATTCGTAGTCGCCATTCATGGCAAAGGGGATCCACGCCGGGTGTTCCACATCGTCTTCATCGTCCATGTGGCATCTCTCGAGAGGAAGATCGTGGTGCGTCTTCGTGCCCTGGTTCGGTGCATCAGAGACCTCGTCGAGGGGTAGCACCTCGGAGACATCCTCCAGCTCCAGTTTGAAGCCATTGGCGAAGCGGTAGAGCTGTCGCAGGTCGTCAGGCAGCCAGATTTTGCAGCCTTGTACCTGCGACATGGCCATGTGACCATCCACGTTTGTCAGGACCATCACCAGCAAATCGCCAAGACACAGAAGAGGTGGTGGTGCAAGAATGGAACGCACATTGTTGCCAAGCTTCTGCTGAAATTGATTGAGGTGCTGCATGGGGACAGGGCTGCCTCGGTCCTGGGCACCACTCCCAAGCTTCCGCAGCAGCTTCGCGAAGTCGGGGTCACTCACGTAGGGCTCGGGCTCATCAGACTCTGCGTAAAGAGATAAGAAGGAAATAAAGAAAAGCAAAGAAAGAAAGGGCACATACCTTCATCATCATCGTCATTGTCACTCTCTCCTTCGCTTTCCTCCTGGTTGTGATCAATGCTTGGTTCATCATTCTCCTCTTCTTTTTCTTCTTCGCTTTCCCAGGAATGGCTGCGCTGGTTGTCCGTCTTACCGCTCTCTTCTTCCTCTTCACTTGCTTCACTACTGGACAGATGCTCAAGGATGCGCTCGATCAGGTCCGCCTTTCGGCCTGACACAGGAAGACCGTTCGTGCGAAGAAATGCCCGCAGCTCTGTAACAATGTACCTGAAGACATTGGCATGCTTGAGCGAGCCCCTAAGGAAGGGGGGCGCACGGATGGAAGGATGGCCGAACCATGTGTTGATCTCATCAAAGGAGACACCCGCCTCAAGGACAGGCTTGGCGGAGGAAGACGCACTCTTCTTTGCTGTGGTACGAGGCATGCTGGGTGGGTTAGGGTTCGGCTTCTCTCT